GAAGAAGGATTCTGGGATTCGGCCGCGGCGACGCATGTCGGTGACTAGCGCCGCGCGGTGGGGGTCAGGGAAGAAGGCCTGGTAGCTGGGGGTGTTCTCGGCACCACAACTGAAGAAGCGACCCGCTGTGGGTGAATTGGAGCAGGAGGCCCGTCACTGGCCTGACACAAGGAATGGCCCAGTGTCAGTCAGAGTCGAAGGACACAGACGCGGGATGGGGCCTGCAGTCAGGCTCCTGTCGGGGCTGCGCCGCCGCCGCGTTTAGCACTGCCTCAGTCGTTCGCTGCTCGAGCGTGGAAGCATCATTGGGCCAGGGAAGAGCAAGGCGACGCGACGACGTCTCGACAGGACGACTTCCACCCTCCCCAGGCCCTGGTCGCACAGGCGCAGCGCCAATGGCAGAGCTAGTTGTTGGTCTTGGCGGGTCCCTGGAAACTCCGACGGGGCCCAGCGGACCAAGAACCGACACAAAATCGCCGCCCCACGGCTCCAGGACAACCCCCGAGTTCGGGTGACGGCCTACCTCTGCATTGCGCCAGTACTTTCGGTGATTCTCCAGCGTGCTGGCGACCTGAGTTGGCCCTGCGCAGCTCGATCCCAGCTTGCGACACTGGTCATCAGGGAGCACCCAATACCCAGCACAGAGCTGGCAAATGATACTCGGCCATGCCGTTCTGGGCGATGACCTAGATTCGAAAAGGCGTTCAACCCTGAGCCTGAGCCCACAGCGGCGCTAGTGGTAGCAAGGGGAGGAGGGTCCTCGGCCCGAGGAGGAGCAAGGTCTCCAGACACCGCTGGGCTCTGCACCGCATATGGCTGGGCAGCAGGGTCGGCGGTGATCAAACTAGCCGCGCGGCAGCGCTCTATCTCCACCGTGACAATGTCTCGCGGCTCCGCTGACAACTGATATGAGTCAACTCGCTCTTGGCCGCCACATTACAAAGTTTGCATCTCCACTCCTGACGCGAGGGGAGGTGATAGATCCCGTGCGAAACCAAAGTGGGACGGTCACGCTTCTCGGGGCTAGGGGGCAATCTCTCGGGCCTCTCGAAGGCTTTCGAGTCCTCCCCAAATACCTGGACCGCACGCGCCAAGAAGCTCCAGTTTTGCTTGCAGGCCTTCAAACGGTCCCTCTCAGCTTCAACAGCCACCTGCGCACACTGGAGGGGGAGGAGGAGCAGGAGGAAGAGGTGGAGGAGGTTCCCAGAGGTCCCCCCCCCAGCCGCGATGGCTGACTCTGTGTCTCCACGGCCGCGGCCGCGGCCGCGGCCGTCCCGCGTGGGCCGCGCACGGGCCTCGGCTCGGGCGGGCCGCGCCCCTGGGGGCCGCCCACCTCTCCACGCGCGTTTGACGGAGGCGCGTGAGGCCTTGGGGCCGCGCGCGCCCTCTGAGTAGGGCACACTCCACCCCCGAGATCCTCAGCACCTCGTGCGGCGCCCCCAGCACGCGTGTGCTGGGCACCCTGCGCGACAGGCCGTCCAGGGAACGTGGCAGTAGCTGAATCATCCAGACCAGTCCCACTGCACGTCGTGCTGGTCGCAGTGGTGCTGCTGTCAACGTGCTGGTCCCGGTGGTGCTGCTGCCGTAGGTGCTGCGCGTCGTGCTGGTCGATGTTGTGCAGCTGCTCTCCGTTGTGTTGCTGGCTAGTGGCCGAACCGAGGAGTCGTAGCACCCATCTCCTCCTTCTCTCCTCGTCGCTCTCCACTGCTGTCGCTGAGGGAGGAGGAGGAGGAGGAGGAGGAGGAGGAGGAGGAGGAGGAGGAGGAGGAGGAGGAGGAGGGGAGGAGGAGGAGGAGGAGGAGGAGGAGGAGGAGGGGGAGGAGGAGGAGGAGGAGGGAGGCGGAGGAGGAGGAGCAGGAGGAAGAGGAGGATGAGAAGGGAAAGGAGGAAAGGAGGAGGAGGAGAGAGGAAGGACCTCAAACCTCGAGCCTCGACGCTCGAAGAACCAGGGCAGGCGGGCCGTGCAGACCTGGCGGGCCATACTGCTCCTCCTTCCTCCTCTCCTCCTCCTCCTCCTCCTCCTCCTTCTCCTCCTCCTCCTCCTCCTCTCCTCCTCCTCCCCTCCTCCCCCTCCCCCTCTGCGACCCCCTCGTCCTCCTCCTTCCCTCAGCCTTTCCCTCCCAGGGGTAATACAAACTCAAGGCAAAAGAGCAGACCTGACAGTGACAAATCGGGGATCTCCGAGAGCTGGCGGTTCTGGAGGCCGCTGCCTCTTCAGAGCGTCCCAGAACGCTCTGAAAGCGTTCCGGATCGCTCTGGAAAGATCTCGCCATCGCTCGGACGTACACTCCCCATGCTTTGTTGGTTGCGCATACGGCAGGTTCGTGTCGTGTCGACCCCGGCGTTGGTTTTTGACACCGCAGGGATCGTTCAACCTTGAACGATCGGCCATTTCCGCAACGTCCAATCGTTCAACATCGACCGATTCTGGGCCGCCGCCGGCGTTCAACCTTGAACGCCCGCGCTGGGGTCGCCGCCGGTCGACACGACGCAAACCTACCGTATTCATTTTTTGCAAGACGATCCAGCATGCTCCTCGATGGCCCTAGCCGAGAACAGCTGCACACGCCCGAGCGATGCCATGCGTTCTATCCCTGTAGCCCCGCCCGACACCTCCTGCTCCCCCTCCGCCACCAGCGACGGCCGCCCGCCTTCTCCACTGCCTGCCCCGTCTGCTTTGACTACCTACCAGACCACCCCAACCCAACCCGAAGACCCGAATTTCGGGTTGGGGGGGGTACGGGCTTCATGTGTGTGTGTGTGTTTTCAGTGTTCCCCGACCCCCCCCCCCCCAACTGGAAATGGAGGCCAAATTGAGGCCTTCGGGTTGGGTTGGGGTGGTTTGGTGGGTGGTGATGCTTCCCTTCTCTCGGGTTGTGGGCTGGGATCTTGGCCGTGCAGCCAGACCGGATCAGAAGCAGGCGCGCTGTGAGGACGCCCAGGCAGAGCTCTGTCCGCGGCGCGGGACGGGCCGAAGAGGCCCTATCTCCTGGGCGAGCACAGGCGAGCGAAGCATGGCACGACATCAGAAACGCGCGGAGGTCCGCGCGGACTTCCCGGATCCGCGCTGGGCCCAAATCCGCGCGGACATCCGAGTTTCGATGTTCATGTCATGCTTCGTCCCCCTGGAACAACATATGGCCATCGCTCGGACGTCCATTCCCTGTGTTTTTTTCGGTTTTGTGCGTGGCTTGTTCGCCAAATGATCAAGACTGCTCCTCGATGGTCCTCGCCGAAGGAAAAATGCACATGCCCGAGCGATGCCAAGACATATCCGCACCCGCGTCCTCGCGGGCTGGGCCCCTGGGCCACCGTTGCCCCGTGGAGACGGGGCGTGCTCTTATCCGCGGCTGCGCCGTGCGCAACCTGTCCGTGCGACCGCGTGTCCGCGGGACCGCGCCACGGAATCCAGACCGCGAGGGCGCGGATACGGACATGTTTGAAGGGGCCCTGAGACACACAAATAAATACACACAAATAAAAGGATGTCCCATATTTTCCCATATTTTCTGGGTTCCTGTCTTCCCCCCCACTTCCCATATTTTCCCATATTCTCCTGGGAGTGGGCGATTAATTGTGTCTGTGTGTTTTTTACCCTCCTGAATGTTCGCCGCACGCGATTCGGAGCAGGTGGGGTTGGAAGATCGCGCCGCATCGGCGATGCATCAGTAATGCATCGGCAACAACGGTGGTGCATCGGCGACGCCAGCGGGAAGAATTTCGGGCTCAAACCGCATCGATGACACATCGCCCACGCGGCGCACTCCTCCTGGGAAGCCCAGACGTATGCTTGAGCCCCCTATCCGCGGGGTCGCGCCCGGGAATTCAAACCGCGAGGGCGCAGATACGCATATGTTCGTCGCTCGTGCTTTTGGGGGATACGCGGTCCCCAAAGTCCCGACCCCTTCCCCGGAAATGGTGATTCATCATGAGCCGTCTTTTGCCGGTCCTAGGGCCTGGTTAAGGCCCACAGCGGCCGAAAACCAAGAAAAACCTCCGTCCAGAATTGTCAACGACGCGAGCATGTCTGCCAGACAAGCTCGCTTCGCTAACAAATTCTGCCAGACATGTCTGCCAGACATTCCAGCGCCCTGAATATTTCAAGCCTTCCTCTTGGGATGGAAAGAAGCTGCAAACATTAATTTCCAACAC